CCCTAAACCCTAAACCCTAAACCCTAAACCCTAAACCCTAAACCCTAAACCCTAAACCCTAAACCCTAAACCCTAAACCCTAAACCCTAAAACCCTAAACCCTAAACCCTAAACCCTAAACCCTAAACCCTAAACCCTAAACCCTAAACCCTAAACCCTAAACCCTAAACCCTAAACCCTAAACCCTAAACCCTAAACCCTAAACCCTAAACCCTAAACCCTAAACCCTAAACCCTAAACCCTAAACCCTAAACCCTAAACCCTAAACCCTAAACCCTAAACCCTAAACCCTAAACCCTAAACCCTAAACCCTAAACCCTAAACCCTAAACCCTAAACCCTAAACCCTAAACCCTAAACCCTAAACCCTAAACCCTAAACCCTAAACCCTAAACCCTAAACCCTAAACCCTAAACCCTAAACCCTAAACCCTAAACCCTAAACCCTAAACCCTAAACCCTAAACCCTAAACCCTAAACCCTAAACCCTAAACCCTAAACCCTAAACCCTAAACCCTAAACCCTAAACCCTAAACCCTAAACCCTAAACCCTAAACCCTAAACCCTAAACCCTAAACCCTAAACCCTAAACCCTAAACCCTAAACCCTAAACCCTAAAACCCTAAACCCTAAACCCTAAACCCTAAACCCTAAACCCTAAACCCTAAACCCTAAACCCTAAACCCTAAACCCTAAACCCTAAACCCTAAACCCTAAACCCTAAACCCTAAACCCTAAACCTAACCCTAAACCCTAAACCCTAAACCCTAAACCCTAAACCCTAAACCCTAAACCCTAAACCCTAAACCCTAAACCCTAAACCCTAAACCCTAAAACCCTAAACACCTAAACCCTAAACCCTAAACCCTAAACCCTAAACCCTAAACCCTAAACCCTAAACCCTAAACCCTAAACCCTAAACCCTAAACCCTAAACCCTAAACCCTAAACCCTAAACCCTAAACCCTAAACCCTAAACCCTAAACCCTAAACCCTAAACCCTAAAACCCTAAACCCTAAACCCTAAAAACCCTAAACCCTAAACCCTAAACCCTAAACCCTAAACCCTAAACCCTAAACCCTAAACCCTAAACCCTAAACCCTAAACCCTAAACCCTAAACCCTAAACCCTAAACCCTAAACCCTAAACCCTAAACCCCTAAACCCTTATTCAAATCATGGACCGCCATGCACGATCATCTTTGCCAGTGTCCTAAGTACCCTGCGGTCAGTTTCCAGCTCCTAATAACTTCAGACGAGCCCGCCGCAAGAAGAACCGCCCCCCTATAAGGGCGTTCGTGAGACCAGAAAGCAGCGAAATCCGCAGCGGTATAAAATGTGAAGCGAAGTTTTTCAAATCATGGACCGCCATGCACGATCATCTTTGCAAGTGTCCTAAGTACCGTGCGGTCAGTTTCCAGCTCCTAATAACTTGAGACGAGCCCGCCGCAAAAAGAACCGCCCCCCTATAAGGGCGTTCGTGAGACCAGAAAGCTGCGAAATCCGCAGCGGTATAAAATGTGAAGCGAAGTTATTCAAATCATGGACCGCCATGCACGATCATCTTTGCCACAGTCTTAAGTACCCTGCAGTCAGTTTCCAGCTCCTAAGAACTTTAGACGAGCCCGCCGCAAGAAAAACCGCCCCCCTATAAGGGCGTTCGTGAGACCAGAAAGCTGCGAAACCCGCCGCGGTATAAAATGTGAAGCGAATTTATTCAAATCATGGACCGCCATGCACGATCATCTTTGCCAGTGTCCTATGTACCCTGCGGTCAGTTTCCAGCTCCTAATAACTTCAGACGAGCCCGCTGCAAGAAGAACCGCCCCCCTATAAGGGCGTTCGTGAGACCAGAAAGCTGCGAAATCCGCAGCGGTATAAAATGTGAAGCGAAGTTATTCAAATCATGGACCGCCATGCACGATCATCTTTGCTAGTGTCCTAAGTACCCTGCAGTCAGTTTCCAGCTCCTAATAACTTTAGACGAGCCCGCTGCAAGAAGAACCGCCCCCCTATAAGGGCGTTCGTGAGACCAGAAAGCTGCGAAACCCGCAGCGGTATAAAATGTGAAGCGAAGTTATTCAAATCATGGACCGCCATGCACGATCATCTTTGCCACACTCCTAAGTACCCTACGGTCAGTTTCCAGCTCCTAATAACTTCAGACTAGCCCGCCGCAAGAAGAACCGCCCCCCTATAAGGGCGTTCGTGAGACCAGAAAGCTGCGAAACCCGCAGCGGTATAAAATGTGAAGCGAAGTTATTCAAATCATGGACCGCCATGCACGATCATCTTTGCCAGTGTCCTAAGTACCCTGCGGTCAGTTTCCAGCTCCTAAAAACTTCAGACTAGCCCGCCGCAAGAAGAACCGCCCCCCTATAAGGGCGTTCGTGAGACCAGAAAGCAGCGAAATCCGCAGCGGTATAAAATGTGAAGCGAAGTTATTCAAATCATGGACCGCAATGAAAGATCTTCTTTGCGAGTGTCCTAAGTACCCTGCGTTCAGTTTCCAGCTCCTAATAACTTGAGACGAGCCCGCCGCAAGAAGAACCGCCCCCCTATAAGGGCGTTCGTGAGACCAGAAAGCTGCGAAACCCGCAGCGGTATAAAATGTGAAGCGAAGTTATTCAAATCATGGACCGCCATGCACGATCATCTTTGCCACAGTCCTAAGTACCCTGCGGTCAGTTTCCAGCTCCTAATAACTTGAGACGAGCCCGCCGCAAGAAGAACCGCCCCCCTATAAGGGCGTTCGTGAGACCAGAAAGCTGCGAAACCCGCAGCGGTATAAAATGTGAAGCGAAGTTATTCAAATCATGGACCGCCATGCACGATCTTCTTTGCCACAGTCCTAAGTACCCTGCGGTCAGTTTCCAGCTCCTAATAACTTTAGACGAGCCCGCCGCAAGAAGAACCGCCCCCCTATAAGGGCGTTCGTGAGACCAGAAAGCTGCGAAATCCGCAGCGGTATAAAATGTGAAGCGAAGTTATTCAAATCATGGACCGCCATGCACGATCATCTTTGCCACAGTCCTAAGTACCCTGCGGTCAGTTTCCAGCTCCTAATAACTTGAGACGAGCCCGCCGCAAGAAGAACCGCCCCCCTATAAGGGCGTTCGTGAGACCAGAAAGCTGCGAAACCCGCAGCGGTATAAAATGTGAAGCGAAGTTATTCAAATCATGGACCGCCATGCACGATCATCTTTGCCACAGTCCTAAGTACCCTGCGGTCAGTTTCCAGCTCCTAATAACTTGAGACGAGCCCGCCGCAAGAAGAACCGCCCCCCTATAAAGGCGTTCGTGAGACCAGAAAGCTGCGAAACCCGCAGCGGTATAAAATGTGAAGCGAAGTTATTCAAATCATGGACCGCCATGCACGATCATCTTTGCCACAGTCCTAAGTACCCTGCGGTCAGTTTCCAGCTCCTAATAACTTTAGACGAGCCCGCCGCAAGAAGAACCGCCCCCCTATAAGGGCGTTCGTGAGACCAGAAAGCTGCGAAACCCGCAGCGGTATAAAATGTGAAGCGAAGTTATTCAAATCATGGACCGCCATGCACGATCATCTTTGCCACAGTCCTAAGTACCCTGCGGTCAGTTTCCAGCTCCTAATAACTTTAGACGAGCCCGCCGCAAGAAGAACCGCCCCCCTATAAGGGCGTTCGTGAGACCAGAAAGCTGCGAAACCCGCAGCGGTATAAAATGTGAAGCGAAGTTATTCAAACCATGGACCGCCATGCACGATCATCTTTGCCAGTGTCCTAAGTACCCTGCGGTCAGTTTCCAGCTCCTAATAACTTTAGACAAGCCCGCCGCAAGAAGAACCGCTCCCCTATAAGGGCGTTCGGAGACCAGAAAGCAGCGAAATCCGCAGCGGTATAAAATGTGAAGCGAAGTTATTCAAATCATGGACCGCCATGCACAATCATCTTTGCCAGTATCCTAAGTACCCTGCGGTCAGTTTCCAGCTTCTATTAACTTCAGACGAGCGCGCCGCAAGAAGAACCGCCCCCCTATAAGGGCGTTCAAGAGACCAGAAAGCTGCGAAATCCGCAGCGGTATAAAATGTGAAGCGAATTTATTCAAATCATGGACCGCCATGCACGATCATCTTTGCTAGTGTCCTAAGTACCCTGCGGTCAGTTGATATAAAATGTGAAGCAGGGTTATTCAAATCATGGACCGCCATGCACGATCATCTTTGCCACAGTCCTAAGTACCCTGCGGTCAGTTTCCAGCTCCTAATAACTTGAGACGAGCCCGCCGCAAGAAGAACCGCCCCCCTATAAGGGCGTTCGTGAGACCAGAAAGCAGCGAAATCCGCAGCGGTATAAAATGTGAAGCGAAGTTATTCAAATCATGGACCGCCATGCACGATCATCTTTGCAAGTGTCCTAAGTACCGTGCGGTCAGTTTCCAGCTCCTAATAACTTGAGACGAGCCCGCCGCAAGAAGAACCGCCCCCCTATAAGGGCGTTCGTGAGACCAGAAAGCTGCAAAATCCGCAGCGGTATAAAATGTGAAGCGAAGTTATTCAAATCATGGACCGCCATGCACGATCATCTTTGCCAGTGTCCTAAGTACCATGCGGTCAGTTGGTATAAAATGTGAAGCGGAGTTCTTCAAATCATGGACCGCCATGCACGATCATCTTTGCCATAGTCCTAAGTACCCTGCAGTCAGTTTCCAGCTCCTAATAACTTGAGACGAGCCCGCCGCAAGAAGAACCGCCCCCCTATAAGGGCGTTCGTGAGACCAGAAAGCTGCGAAACCCGCAGCGGTATAAAATGTGAAGCGAAGTTATTCAAATCATGGACCGCCATGCACGATCATCTTTGCCACAGTCCTAAGTACCCTGCGGTCAGTTTCCAGCTCCTAATAACTTCAGACGAGCCCGCCGCAAGAAGAACTGCCCCCCTGTAAGGGCGTTCGTGAGACCAGAAAGTTGCGAAACCCGCAGCGGTATAAAATGTGAAGCGAAGTTATTCAAATCATGGACCGCCATGCACGATCATCTTTGCCAGTGTCCTAAGTACGATGCGGTCAGTTGGTATAAAATGTGAAGCGGAGTTATTCAAATCATGGACCGCCATGCACGATCATCTTTGCCATAGTCCTAAGTACCCTGCAGTCAGTTTCCAGCTCCTAATAACTTGAGACGAGCCCGCCGCAAGAAGAACCGCCCCCCTATAAGGGCGTTCGTGAGACCAGAAAGCTGCGAAATCCGCAGCGGTATAAAATGTGAAGCGAAGTTATTCAAATCATGGACCGCCATGCACGATCATCTTTGCTAGTGTCTTAAGTACCCTGCGGTCAGTTTCCAGCTCCTAATAACTTGAGACGAGCCCGCCGCAAGAAGAACCGCCCCCTCCCATGCCTTCCCCCTCTCATGCCTTCCCCCTCTCATGCCTTCCCCCTCTCATGCCTTCCCCCTCTTATGCCTTCCCCCTCTCATGCCTTCCCCCTCTCATGCCTTCCCCCTCTCATGCCTTCCCCCTCTCATGCCTTCCCCCTCTCATGCCTTCCCCCTCTCATGCCTTCCCCCTCTCATGCCTTCCCCCTCTCATGCCTTCCCCCTCTCATGCCTTCCCCCTCTCATGCCTTCCCCCTCTCATGCCTTCCCCCTCTCATGCCTTCCCCGTCTCATGCCTTCCCTGTCTCATGCCTTCCCCCTCTCATGCCTTCCCCCTCTCATGCCTTCCCCCTCTCATGCCTTCCCCCTCTCATGCCTTCCCCCTCTCATGCCTTCCCCCTCTCATGCCTTCCCCCTCTCATGCCTTCCCCCTCTCATGCCTTCCCCCTCTCATGCCTTCCCCCTCTCATGCCTTCCCCCTCTCATGCCTTCCCCCTCTTATGCCTTCCCCCTCTCATGCCTTCCCCCTCTCATGCCTTCCCCCTCTCATGCCTTCCCCGTCTCATGCCTTCCCCGTCTCATGCCTTCCCCCTCTCATGCCTTCCCCCTCTCATGCCTTCCCCCTCTCATGCCTTCCCCCTCTCATGCCTTCCCCCTCCCATGCCTTCCCCCTCCCATGCCTTCCCCCTCCCATGCCTTCCCCCTCTCATGCCTTCCCCCTCTCATGCCTTCCCCCTCTCATGCCTTCCCCCTCTCATGCCTTCCCCCTCTCATGCCTTCCCCCTCTCATGCCTTCCCCCTCTCATGCCTTCCCCCTCTCATGCCTTCCCCCTCTCATGCCTTCCCCCTCTCATGCCTTCCCCCTCTCATGCCTTCCCCCTCTCATGCCTTCCCCCTCTCATGCCTTCCCCGTCTCATGCCTTCCCCGTCTCATGCCTTCCCCGTCTCATGCCTTCCCCCTCTCATGCCTTCCCCCTCTCATGCCTCCCCCTCTCATGCCTTCCCCCTCTCATGCCTTCCCCCTCTCATGCCTTCCCCCTCTCATGCCTTCCCCCTCTCATGCCTTCCCCCTCTCATGCCTTCCCCCTCTCATGCCTTCCCCCTCTCATGCCTTCCCCGTCTCATGCCTTCCCCGTCTCATGCCTTCCCCCTCTCATGCCTTCCCCCTCTCATGCCTTCCCCCTCTCATGCCTTCCCCCTCTCATGCCTTCCCCCTCTCATGCCTTCCCCCTCTCATGCCTTCCCCCTCTCATGCCTTCCCCCTCTCATGCCTTCCCCCTCTCATGCCTTCCCCCTCTCATGCCTTCCCCCTCTCATGCCTTCCCCCTCTCATGCCTTCCCCCTCTCATGCCTTCCCCCTCTCATGCCCTCCCCCTCTCATGCCTTCCCCCTCTCATGCCTTCCCCCTCTCATGCCTTCCCCGTCTCATGCCTTCCCCGTCTCATGCCTTCCCCCTCTCATGCCTTCCCCCTCTCATGCCTTCCCCCTCTCATGCCTTCCCCCTCTCATGCCTTCCCCCTCCCATGCCTTCCCCCTCCCATGCCTTTCCCCTCCCATGCCTTCCCCCTCTCATGCCTTCCCCCTCTCATGCCTTCCCCCTCTCATGCCTTCCCCCTCTCATGCCTTCCCCCTCTCATGCCTTCCCCCTCTCATGCCTTCCCCCTCTCATGCCTTCCCCCTCTCATGCCCTCCCCCTCTCATGCCCTCCCCCTCTCATGCCCTCCCCCTCTCATGCCTTCCCCCTCCCATGCCTTCCCCTTCCCATGCCTTCCCCCTCCCATGCCTTCCCCCTCCCATGCCTTCCCCCTCTCATGCCTTCCCCCTCTCATGCCTTCCCCCTCTCATGCCTTCCCCCTCTCATGCCTTCCACCTCTCATGCCTTCCCCCTCTCATGCCTTCCCCCTCTCATGCCTTCAACCTCTCATGCCTTCCCCCTCTCATGCCTTCCCCCTCTCATGCCTTCCCCCTCTCATGCCTTCCCCCTCTCATGCCTTCCCCCTCTCATGCCTTCCCCCTCTCATGCCTTCCCCCTCTCATGCCTTCCCCCTCTCATGCCTTCCCCCTCTCATGCCTTCCCCCTCTCATGCCTTCCCCCTCTCATGCCTTCCCCCTCTCATGCCTTCCCCCTCTCATGACTTCCCCCTCTCATGCCTTCCCCCTCTCATGCCTTCCCCCTCTCATGCCTTCCCCCTCCCATGCCTTCCCCCTCCCATGCCTTCCCCCTCTCATGCCTTCCCCCTCTCATGCCTTCCCCCTCTCATGCCTTCCCCCTCTCATGCCTTCCCCCTCTCATGCCTTCCCCCTCTGATGCCTTCCCCCTCTCATGCCTTCCCCCTCTCATGCCTTCCCCCTCTCATGCCTTCCCCCTCTCATGCCTTCCATCCCCCTCTCATGCCTTCCCCCTCTCATGTCATCCCCCTCTCATGCCTACCCCTCGCACCTCTCCAACACTGCCTGTTGTTCCGCAGTCGCTCTGCTTGCCCGTTTCATGCGCCTCTTCCTGCTGCACCTGCGCGGCCTGCTGTTCCCCTCAGTGCGCCCGCCCTCACCGGTACCCACACCATCATCCCATCTCACACGACCCTACCACCACCAGGCCGCCCTCGACAGCTGGTTCCCGGACCGGCGCCCGTTCACACATGTAGCGCGCTGACTGCTGCATCCGGCCAACTTTGGTCATCGGTCATCGGTGGGTTGCGAGCATCATTGGTCATCGGTGCTCGCGAATGAAGAGCGCCCGCTGCACTTCCTCCACAAGTGCGGGTCCTTGCACGTTTTGAGGCTGGAAGCGCTTGTTCCGAGCATTTTTCTTCCACCGGATCACATAGTTGCGCTTGTGTGGGCCTATTGCCAAGCAGGCAAGGGCGTGAGAGAGCATCATTGGTCATCGGCGCTCGCGAATGAAGAGCGCCCGCGGCACTTCCTCCACATGTGCGGATCCCTTCCGCGTTTTGAGGCTGGAAGCACTCGTTCCGAGTGTTTTTCTTCCACCGGGTCACGTGGCTGCGCTTGTCTGGGCCTATTGCCAAGCCAGCAATTGCGTTGGAGGGTTGCAAGCATCATTGGTCATCGGCGTTCGCGAATGAAGAGCGCCCGCTGCACTTCCTCCTCATGTGCAGATCCTTGCGCGTTTTGAGGCTGGAAGCGCTCGTTCCGAGCGTTTTTCTTCCACCGTGTCATATGTATGCGCTTGTCTGGGCCTATTGCCAAGCCAGCAAGGGCGTGGGAAGGTTGCGAGCATCATTGGTCATCGGCGCTTGCGAATGAAGAGCGTCCGCTGCAGTTCCTCCACATGTGTGGATCCTTGCGCGTTTTGAGGCTAGAAGCGCTCGTTCCGAGCGTTTTTCTTCCACCAAGTCACGTGGCTGAGCTTTTCTGGGCCTATTTCCAAGCCAGCAAGGGCGTGGGAGGGTTGCGAGCATCATTGGTCATCGGCGCTTGCGAATGAAGAGCGCTCGCTGCACTTCCTCCACTTGTGCTGATCCTTGCGCGTTATGAGGCTGGAAGCTCTCGTTCCAAACGTTTTTCTTCCACCGGGTCACGTGGCTGCGCTTGTTTGGGCCTATTGCCAAGCCAACAAGTGCGTTGGAGGGTTGCAAGCATCATTGGTCATCGGCGCTCGCGAATGAAGAGCGCCCGCTGCACTTCCTCCTCATGTGCAGATCCTTGCGCGTTTTGAGGCTGGAAGCGCTCGTTCCGAGCGTTTTTCTTCCACCGTGTCATATGTATGCGCTTGTCTGGGCCTATTGCCAAGCCAGCAAGGGCGTGGGAAGGTTGCGAGCATCATTGGTCATCGGCGCTTGCGAATGAAGAGCGTCCGCTGCAGTTCCTCCACATGTGTGGATCCTTGCGCGTTTTGAGGCTAGAAGCGCTCGTTCCGAGCGTTTTTCTTCCACCAAGTCACGTGGCTGAGCTTTTCTGGGCCTATTTTCAAGCCAGCAAGGGCGTGGGAGGGTTGCGAGCATCATTGGTCATCGGCGCTTGCGAATGAAGAGCGCTCGCTGCACTTCCTCCACTTGTGCTGATCCTTGCGCGTTATGAGGCTGGAAGCTCTCGTTCCAAACGTTTTTCTTCCACCGGGTCACGTGGCTGCGCTTGTTTGGGCCTATTGCCAAGCCAACAAGTGCGTTGGAGGGTTGCAAGCATCATTGGTCATCGGCGCTCGCGAATGAAGAGCGCCCGCTGCACTTCCTCCTCATGTGCAGATCCTTGCGCGTTTTGAGGCTGGAAGCGCTCATTCCGAGCGTTTTTCTTCCACCGGGTCACGTGGCTGTGCTTTTCTGGGCCTATTGCCAAGCCAACAAGGGCGTGGGAGTATTGCGAGCATCATTGGTCATCGGCGCTCGCGAATAAATAGCGCCCGCTGCACTTCCTGCACATGTGCGGATCCCTTCCGCGTTTTGAGGCTGGAAGCGCTCATTCCGAGCGTTTTTCTTCCACCGGGTCACGTGGCTGTGCTTTTCTGGGCCTATTGCCAAGCCAACAAGGGCGTGGGAGTATTGCGAGCATCATTGGTCATTGGCGCTCGCGAATAAATAGCGCCCGCGGCACTTCCTGCACATGTGCGGATCCCTTCCGCGTTTTGAGGCTAGAAGCGCTCATTCCGAGCGTTTTTCTTCCACCAAGTCATGTGGCTGAGCTTGACTGAGCCTATTGCCAAGCCAGCAAGGGCGTGGGAGGGTTGCGAGCATCATTGGTCATCGGCGCTCGCGAATGAAGAGCTCCCGCTGCACTTCCTCCACTTGTGCGGATCCTTGCGCGATATAAGGCTGGAAGCACTTGTTCCGAACGTTTTTCTTCCACCGGGTCACGTGGCTGCGCTTGTCTGGGCCTATTGCCAAGCCAACAAGGGCGTGGGAGGGTTGCGAACATCATTGGTCATCGACGCTCGCGAATGAAGAGCGCCTGCTGCACTTCCTCCACATGTGCCGATCCTTGCGCGTTTTGAGGCTGGAAGCGCTTGTTCCGAGCGTTTTTCTTCCACCGGGTCACGTGGTTGCGCTTGTCTGGGCCTATTGCCAAGCCAGCAAGGCGTTGGAGGGTTGCGTGTATCCTTGGTCATCGGCGCTGGCGAATGAAGAGCGCCCGCTGCACTTCCTCCACATGCGCAGATCCTTGCGCGTTTTGAGGCTGGAAGCACTCGTTCCGAGCGTTTTTCTTCCACCGGATTACGTGGCTGCGCTTGGCGGGGGTATTGCCAAGCCAGCAATGGCGTGGGAGGGTTGCGAGCATCATTGGTCATCGGCGCTCGCGAATGAAGAGCGCCCGCTGCATTTCCTCCACCTGTGCGGATCCTTGCACGTTTTGAGGCTGGAAGCGCTCGTTCCGAGTGTTTTTCTTCCACCGGGTCATGTGGTTGTGCTTGTCCGGGCCTATTGCCAAGCCAGCAAGGGCGTTGGAGGGTTGCGAGAATCATTGGTCATCGGCGCTCGCGAATGAAAAGCGCCCGCTGCACTTCCTCCTCATGTGCAGATCCTTGCGCGTTTTGAGGCTGGAAGCGCTCGTTCCGAGCGTTATTCTTCCACCGTGTCACGTGTATGAGCTTTTCTGGGCCTATTGCCAAGCCAGCAAGGGGGTGGGAGGGTTGCGAGCATCATTGGTCATCGGCGCTTGCGAATGAAGAGTGAACGCTACACTTCCTCCACATGTGCGGATCCTTGCACGTTTTGAGGTTACAAGCGCTCGTTCTGAGCGTTTTTCTTCCACCAAGTCACGTGTATGAGCTTTTCTGGGCCTATTGCCAAGCCAGCAAGGGTGTGGGAGGGTTGCGAGCATCATTGGTCATCGGCGCTCGCGAATGAAGATCGCCCGCTGCACTTCCTCCACATGTGCGGATCCTTGCGCGTTTTGAGGCTGGAAGCGCTCGTTCCGAGTGTTTTTCTACCACCGGGTCACGTGGCTGCGCTTGTCTGGGCCTATTGCCAAGCCAGCAAGGGCTTTGGAGGGTTGCGAGCATCATTGGTCATCGGTGCTCGCGAATAAAGAGCGCCCGCTGCACTTCCTCCGCATGTGCGGGTCCTTGCACGTTTTGAGGCTGGAAGCGCTTGTTCCGAGCATTTTTCTTCCACCGGATCACGTAGTTGCGCTTGTCTGGGCCTATTGCCAAGCCAGCAAGGGCGTGGGAGAGTTGCGAGCATCATTGGTCATCGGCGCTCGCGAAGGCACACGGGCGAATAACCTCTCCAAAGGTGCGCCCCAATGAGGCACACGGGCGAATAACCTCTCCAAAGGTGCGCCCCAATGAGGCCCACGGGCGAATAACCTCTCCAAAGGTGCGCCCCAATGAGGCCCACGAGCGAATAACCTCCCCAATAAGCTACGCTTTTCCGGGCCTATTGCCAAGCTAGCAAGGGGGTGGGAGGCTTGCGAGCATCATCGGTCATCGGCGATCGCGAATGAAGAGCGTCCGCTGCATTTCCTGCACATGTGAGGATGCTTCCGCGTTTTGGGGCTGGAAGCGCTCGTTGCGAGCGTTTTTCTTCCGCCGGGTCACGTGGCTGCGCTTGTCTGGGCCTATTGCCAAGCGAGCAAGGCGTGGGAGGGTTGCGAGCATCATCGGTCATCGGCGCTCGCGAATGAAGCACGCCCGCTGCACTTCCTGCACATGTGCGGGTCCTTCCGCGTTTTGGGGCTGGAAGCGCTCGTTCCGAGCGTTTTTCTTCCGCCGGATCACGTGGCTGCAATTATCTGGGCCTATTGCCAAGCTTGCGAGCATCGTTGGTCATCGGCGCTCGCGAATGAAGAGCGCCTTTTGCACTTCCTGCACATGTGAGGATCCTTCCGCGTTTTGGGGCTAGAAGCGCTCGTTCCGAGCGTTTTTCTTCCACCGGGTCACATGGCTGCACTTGTCTGGGCCTATTGCCAAGCCAGCAAGGGCGTGGGTGGGTTGCGAGCATCATCGGTCATCGGCGCTCGCGAATGAAGCGCGCCCGCTGCACTTCCTGCACATGTGCGAATCCTTCCGCATTTTGGAGCTGAAGCGCTCGTTCCGAGCGTTTTTCTTCCGCCGGGTCACGTGGCTGCACTTATCTGGGTCTTTCGCCAAGCCAGCAAGGGCGTGGGAGGGTTGCGAGCATCATCGGTCATTGGCGCTCGCGAATGAAGGACGCCCGCTGCACTTCCTGCACGTGTGCAGATCCTTTCACGTTTTGGGGGTGGAAGCGCTCGCTCCTGCACTTTTGAGCAGCGTGCAAGGAGGTTGGTGCGTGCGGGGGAGGGTCGTGTGTGCAGGGGAGGGTGCCACCTCGCGCCCCGGGGTGCCAGTAAGGCCTACCCTGACTGGTAGGGAAAAATATCAGTTAGCTTGAAATTTTCAGTGTAAAAAAAACTTGTCGGCTGTTGGTGGCAGGTTTGGTACACTGTCTTTTGTTGATTATGGTTTAATACGTAGACTGGCCAATATCACCTCGAAATGGCTCAGCTAGGTATGCCCCTTAGAATGGTAAGATCCCAAATTCCAGCGGCGAAATATACCGTACGGTAGTTGTACAAAGCAGTATCGCGTTTCAGCATATTCAGTATCGGTGTAACTCGCATGACACCCTTATGATACAGGGTACCGTAAGAGGTCTCTAACACTGCTGATTTACACAAGGTAAACAAAAGTGCACTTTTTAATCAGGGTGGCGAAGCTTTTACAGTACGGATCAGAGCAAGCCCAACAAGCGGCCAAAAACGAGTAAAAAGGGTATTATACCCTTATTTTTCGGGGATAATGGAATGCGAAAGGTCAAGACCAATGTGTACCCTGCTCTTGACCCAGCTGCCAGCGAGGTAACAATCAATTCTGTGAGGATGCAGAGTATTCAAACAAAAGTCGTTTCTCAACGGAGGACAAGGATGAGAAGAGAAGGCGCAAGCGGGAGTTGAGTTGGTAGAGCAGTTTCCACTGCGTTGCCATCTCACTCTCGCGTAGCTGCCGCACCACAGATGCCTGGGGAAACCACAGAAAAGGTCATGTCTGAGGCAAAGGCTCGCTCATATGCACACATGCCCATGGTGTGCATCTAATTAGGTGCAGTAGCCATCTATGCCATGGTCTGCTTAGCATGGCAGTGTGCATGTTTATGTATGAGCGATACATAACACATGACACAGGTAGTGAGCGTTGGTATGATGCATGTCCTCAATGGTGCATATGTCCATGATGCATGTCAGAATGATGCATCTGAAGGTGGGATATGACCCGATGGTGCATGTCACACTATGTCACAAAAATGTTGACTTGATGACGCATGTCACTATGATGTGTGCAGCAACGATGCATGTCACTATGATGTGTGTCGCAGTGATGCATGTCCCAGTGATGCATTTCACAATGGCACAATGATGCAGATCCCTTCGATGCTTGTCCCGATGATGCGTGTCACAGTGATGCATGTCACAAGAACGATGCATGTCACTATGCCAGAACGATGCATTTCACATGCATGTAAGATCCATGTATCCCAGCCAGCCCGTTGAGCACCTGAAGGTTGTTGCCGATTTGGATTTCCACCTCGGCGCCGAAGGAGAGGTTGGCGAGGGACTGGAAGGGGTCGGAGGTGGGGTCCAGCGAGAGCAGGTTCGGGATCTGCGGCGCGCTCACCAGGCGCCACCGCGCCTGCCCGAACTGCCCGCGGCTCTCGATCTTGGGCATGAGGGTCTCCACGGTGGCGGCCGCCAGCTTCTTGAGCGCCAGCTGCCCGTCCTTCTCCAGCAGCGACTCCGCCAGCTGGCTCTCAAACAGCCGCGCCGCCTCCGCGGGCGACAGCACGTCCTCCTCGCCGCCGCGCGGCAGCGTGGTGAGCACCACGTGGTCCTGCCAGCGGTTGGCCGGGCCCTGGATGCGCATCTGCCAGTCCGCCCCCACCAGCTTCAGGTCCAGCAGCGGATCCATGCCCAGCGCCGCCTCAAAGCGCGCACAGTTGGGGTGATCGCGGTTCAGCCGCAGCTGCACATGACACATGCGACACGGGGGTGTGGGCAGGGCCGGTGGAGTTTGGTCAGGTGCAGAAAAGAGCATGGCGGGGGGCATGAGAAGGGAGGATGGCGAGGGCGCATGAGAAGGGAGGTTGGCGAGTGGGCATGAGAAAGGAGCATGGCGAGCAGGCAGGAGAAGGGAACATGGCAAGGGGGCAGGAGGGGGGAGTGGGACATGGGTGGCAGGAGATGGGGGTGGGACATGGGTGGCAGGAGAGGGGGGTGGGACATGGGTAACAGGAGAGGGGGGTGGGACCTGGGTGGCAACGAGGTTGACTTCGCCGTTCTCAAAGAAGAGCGTGCCGGAGGGGCGCACGAGGCGCGGGTCGGCGAAGCCATTGAGGTGCAGGTCGCCGCGCGTGGCGAGGTTGAGGATGAGCGGGTACACCACGCGCAGCTCCGGCCCCAGCGCCACCTGCAGCCCCCGCAGCCGCACCAGCGCCGCCGGTGCCGATGGCGCAGACGCAAGGTCAGGGGTTGCTGGCAGCGGCACAGGCGGCACTGCTGTAGTGGCAGCAGAGGCGGCGGTGGCAGTGGTGGCAGATAGCGGCGATGACGTGCTCTCTGATGGAAGTGATGGCGGGACGACATGTGTGGAAGGGATGTGACGAAGAACAGTGTATGGGGAGGAGGAGGAAGGCCCACACATGATTGGGAGAAGTTATTGATGAGAAAGAGCAAACACGGCAGTGAAGCAAGTGGCAGGGATGAAGTGAGCTGTGGCGCGTGGGCCAAAAGAGGATGAGAGCCACACACAGACCCAGTCGGAAAAAAATGGTGCAGGGGGTGGCGGAAGTGGAGGGAGTGGGAAGGGGCGCACCTTGCTGTGGAGCTGTCGCCGGCAGCTTCATGGCTGAAGACGAGGCCGTGGAGGACATCGCCGGCAGCCAATCAGGTGCTGCTGACTTGGCAGGAGGGGCAGTGGAGGGAGCAGCAGAGAGTGCAGGTGTCTTGCGGCGGTGGGAGGGCAGCAGCGAGGAGGGCACGGAGGGGGAGGGGGGGGTGTCGGCCCGGTCCTTCTCCTGCGACAGGTACGCGATGCCACGTGACAGCCGGATGGCTCCTGTCACCTCAGGGGCGGCCAGGCTGCCCATCACACTCACGCCCGCGTCCACCAGACCACTGCAACCACACACGCACACACAGCACAATGGGGCACCGTCACACAGGTGGGAGATCCGGTGCTGACAGGCACTGGTCCAAACCCCACACTGCAAACGTTGTCACAAGAGCAGTCCAGCAAAAATCCATTGAAGAAACAGGTGAGGGCCCACCTGAACACATTGCGTGCTCGCACTTCAAGACCCTCCGCCGTGATGCTGATTCCCTCCCCAGCCTTGCTGTCCTGTGCATGCTCCCCCTCTTCCCTCCCACTCCCCCTCTTCCCCTTGCTTCCCCTCCTCAACCCACCAAGCGTCTCCTCCCCTTCCCCTTCCGCCCCCTCACCGCCCCACTCGTGCGCGGGCAGGCCGAGGGGCAGCGAGCCCTCGACGCGCAGAGTGCCGCGGCGCCCCACGCGCCCCTCCAGCCCGTCCACCAGCAGCTGCTGCGCTGCGATGCGGATGCGCCCCCCCCCGCCCGTGAGCGGGCGCGGCAGCACGGGGGACGACGCCGTCACGCGGCTGAACACCGCCTCCGCCGCCACCTCTGGCCGCGCCAGCGTGCCTCTCACCTGCCGCCCGCACAGCGCCGTGGGAGAGAGGTGCGGGAGAGAGAGGCATGGGGAGAGACTTGTGGGTGCAGAGTAATGACAAGTCAAAGCAAGAATGCTGAAGTCACTATAAGACTGGCCCACCTGAGCAGAGATGGCCCACCTGAGCAGAGATGGCGGCACCCACCTGAGCAGAGATGGCGGCGTGGCCGTGGATCCAGCGGAAGGAGGGGGAGAGCGCGGTGAGCAGCATCATGCCAGCATCCTGCACACTGGCCTCCACCTGCATCTGCTCCGCCTGCTCCTCGCCCTCAAACGCCCGCTCCAGCTCCACCAGACTGCGCAGCAGCTCCGGCCCCTTCTGCGCACCCTCCCCCTCCCCTTCCCCCTCCTCCTCCTCCTCTTCCTCCTGCTCTTCCTCCTCCTCGACCTTCTCCTCGGCTTCACCACCATCGCCACTCCCCTTGCCCTCGCTCCACAGCCCTCCCTCCTTGTCCAGCCAGTCCCAGTCGTGCCACAGCCGGCTGCCCTCCCGCGCTGCACCGCCGCCTTCCTTCTTCTGTGTCGCCTCCACACCCGCCTTCTGCTTCTTCTCGCCTGCCTTGCCCCTCCGCTTCTCCTGCACTCTGCCTCCACCAGAAGCTGCCATCCTCCCTCCACCGCCCATGTCCCTGCCTGCGCCCTGCACCTCCTGCCCTGCCTGCGCCGTCTGCCCTGCGTGCCCCCCCTGTAGCGGCGGCAGCGGCACGTTGCCCTTGATGCGCACCTGGCCCGCGTCCAGTGCCGGCTCCAGCACCGCGTGGAACAGCAGCCGCGATGCCCTCGTCAGCGACGCCGCCACCTCCGCCCTGCCCAGCGCCACGCCCGCTATCTCCCCGTCCAGCAGCCGCAGCTGCCACCGCACGGGGGAGAGGCAGCAGGGGAGTGATGGAGGAGCGAGCACTGAAGAGGGATAGACGAACAAGGCAGAAAGTGGAGCAAGAGCATGCAGAGTGAGCAATGGCGTACTGGGAGGCGCAGCAGTGGAGTGCATGCACCCACCTGCACGTCGCACTGCGGCTGGGCGAAGGAGCCCGACAGGTCGCCCTCCACATGCACCACGCCCCTCACTGCCGCCTGCTGCACGCCCACGGGTGGTGGAGGGGGGAACGGCGCACCAGAGGCAGCAGCGGCAGCGGAGGACTGGGAGGGCGCCGCGGCGTGGAGGGCTTGCAGGAAGGTGGGGACGAGGTGGGCGGGGAAGTTGAGCAGCGCGAAGTGCAGGCTGGGCGCGGGGCCAAAGACAGTGCCGTCAGCATGCACCGTGGCGCCGTCGTCCTTCTGCAGCAGCAGCCGCTCCACCTGCAGCCCCCCCGTGTTGCTGTACCGCCCCCGCGCCTGCAGCTGCTGCAGCCGGTACCTGCCCGCCTCCCAGTCGCTGCCGTGCACGTCAAATGATGCCGACGTGTCGCCGTTGCCGCCCCCACTCGCCTCCAGCACCCCGTGCCAGCGCCCCCGCAGGTCCACCAGCCCCGGCAGCGCCTCCGCTGCTGCCCCCCCACCCACGTCCGTGCCCGCTGGCTCCCACTCGCGCTCCCTCTTCTCCCGCACATACTGCTCCCACCCACACAGGCGCAGCGCGGCAGGGAACAAGGTACAGATCAACGGATGGACGGCAGTGGGGTGAGGGGCAAGGAGTGGAGCGCAAGGAGTGGAAGGAGAAGAATGTACAGCGACATAACAAGGAAAAATCATCTCTGAAGCAGACAGGCGCTAGCCGGTTGAGTGTGGGGGGGTGTGTGGCGGGCAGAGGACACACCTCGAGCTGGTGCTGCAGGGAGTGGGAGGCGAAGCCAACCTCCTCGATGCCGTGCAGGAAGAGCTCCTTGGAGCGCAGCAGCACCGCCGGGTCGTGGCTGCGCGACAGAATGCGCAGCCCCGGCAGCATCTCGCTGACGTCAGCGTGGGGCACGTCGAGGCGCAAGCGCCAGCGGCCGATGGACGTCATCATGGCCTGCAGCTGCCCCGGCATCGCCCTCTGCCGCCCGCCCCCACCCCACTCCGTGTCCGCGCTGCGCTCCGAGGCCGCGGCAGCCGCAGTGGCAGCAGCGTCGGGGGTGGGCGTGGAGGGTGAGTGGGAGGAGGTGGTTCTGTCCCTGTCGCGCTCCCTGTCGCGCTCCCTGTCCCACTCCCTCATCCCCGGCAGCACATATTCCCCCTGTACCTCGTACCGGCTGTTTGCCTGCTCCAACACCGACCTCTCCAGAGTCACCTGCCATCACACACGCACACACACGCACACACACGCACCCACATTCACACACACGCACACACACGCACACACATTCACACACACGCACACACACGCACACACACGCACACACATTCACACACACGCACACACACGCACACACATTCACACACACGCACACACACGCACACACACGCACACACATTCACACACACGCACACACACGCACACACACGCACACACATTCACACACACGCACACACATTCACACACACGCACACACACGCACACACACGCACACACATTCACACACACGCACACACATTCACACACACGCACACACATTCACACACACGCACACACACGCACACACACGCACACACATTCACACACACGCACACACACGCACACACACGCACACACATTCACACACACGCACACACACGCACACACATTCACACACACGCACACACACGCACACACATTCACACACACGCACACACACGCACACACATTCACACACACGCACACACACGCACACACATTCACACACACGCACACACACGCACACACATTCACACACACGCACACACACGCACACACACGCACACACACGCACACACACGCACACACACGCACACGCACACACATTCACACACACGCACACACACGCACACACATTCACACACACGCACACACATACACACAAACGCACACACACGCACACACACGCACACACACGCACACACACGCACACACACACACACACACACACGCACACACACGCACACACATTCACACACACGCACACACACGCACACACATTCACACACACGCACACACATACACACACACGCACACACACGCACACACATACACACACACGCACACACACGCACACACACGCACACACACGCACACACATTCACACACACGCACACACACGCACACACATTCACACACACGCACACACACGCACACACATTCACACACACGCACACACACGCACACACATTCACACACACGCACACACACGCACACACATTCACACACACGCACACACACGCACACACACGCACACACATTCACACACATACACACACACGCACACACACGCACACACATACACACACACGCACACACACGCACACACATACACACACACGCACACACACGCACACACACGCACACACACGCACACACATTCACACACACGCACACACACGCACACACATTCACACACACGCACACACACGCACACACACATTCACACACACGCACACACACGCACACACATTCACACACACGCACACACACGCACACACATTCACACACACGCACACACACGCACACACATTCACACACACGCACACACACGCACACACATTCACACACACGCACACACACGCACACACACGCACACACATTCACACACATACACACACACGCACACACACGCACACACATACACACACACGCACACACACGCACACACATTCACACACACGCACACACACGCACACACATTCACACACACGCACACACACGCACACACATTCACACACACGCACACACACGCACACACATTCACACACACGCACACACACGCACACACATTCACACACACGCACACACATACACACACACGCACACACACGCACACACATTCACACACACGCACACACACGCACACACATTCACACACACGCACACACACGCACACACATTCACACACACGCACACACACGCACACACATTCACACACACGCACACACACGCACACACATTCACACACACGCACACACATACACACACACGCACACACACGCACACACATTCACACACACGCACACACACGCACACACATTCACACACACGCACACACACGCACACACATTCACACACACGCACACACACGCACACACATTCACACACACGCACACACACGCACACACACGCACACACATACACACACACGCACACACACGCACACACATTCACACACACGCACACACACGCACACACACGCACACACATACACACACACGCACACACACGCACACACATTCACACACACGCACACACACGCACACACACGCACACACATACACACACACGCACACACACGCACACACATTCACACACACGCACACACACGCACACACACGCACACACATACACACACACGCACACACACGCACACACACGCACACACATTCACACACACGCACACACACGCACACACACGCACACACATTCACACACACGCACACACACGCACACACACGCACACACACGCACACACACGCACACACATGCACACACACGCACACACATGCACACATATGCACACACACGCACACACACGCACACACATGCACACATATGCACACGCATGCACAGATTCACGATGAGTCAGATGCACAGGTCACGCAGCAAGCTCAAAAGACAGTACAGTACAGCACTCTGCTTTCCCCTGCCCTTCCCCCGTACTCACCACGTCACCGGTCCAGCGGAAGGCAGCATGCAGGGCGTCACAGAGCATGCCACTGAAGCGAGGGCGCCGCACTGCGAGGGAGCCGTGGCCGCGGCGCTTGGCGAAGTTGAGGCGCACAGCAGCACGCTCCACCAGCCCGCGCAGCGACGCCAGCTCCAACTCGTCCAGCGGCAGCGCCCTCACCTCCAGTGCTGCTGTTGCCCCCATGCGCACATGCCCCTCCACACTCATCTGCCCCCGCTGCACCCGCACCGCCCCTCCCGCTACGCCCCCTAAACCGCCGCCCGCACTGCCTGCTGTTGGTGCCGCTGCTCCCACTTCGAAGAGAGGGAAGGCCGCCTCGGAGGCCTGCGCCTGGGGCATGTAGGACGACGAGGCATGGGGGATTGTAGGGACAGGTGGCAGCACGCCATTGGCTGAGAGCTGCAGCATGAGCTGCTCATCGCCGCGGCCCACGGTGTGCAGGTTGAAGCCATGGGGACTTACAGCCACGGCGCCTGACAGGTTGGCCCCCAGCAGCAGCTGGTTCAGCTTCAGCCCCTGAATGAGCACACTCCCCTCCAGCCCTGCCAGCCCCGCCTCTGCCTCCTGCCTCGCCCCTCCACCCCCCCCAGCCTCGTCCACCGCCCCTGGCTGCACCTCACTGCCCCACGGCACGCGCGCAGAGAGCTTGAAGCGCCCCGACAGCCGCAGGTGCCGCAGGGAGGGCTGCGGGGGCGGCACGGGCACGGGGGCGGCGGGCAGCAGCGCGAGGGCGTCGAAGGCCCTCAGGCGCGCCTCAGCCTCCACACGCTCCACGCGCGGGCGCGGAGGCAACGGGGGCAGCTCCCTCGACAGCACCGGCCACGGGCGAGCGGCACCGCGGGGGGGGCGCGGGGGGGTGGGGCAGGGGGGAGGGGCGGAGACGGAGGCGGAGAGGAGGAGGTCGAGGGCGTGCGCGTGGGTGGCGGCGTGGGCTGTGTCCCTCGTGAGCGCCACCGACCCCCTCATCCCCTCCAACGGGCCCCTCGCCTGCGGTGCCTTCCATGTCGCCTCCACCGTGCTGTGGTGGTGGTCGGGTGGGGGAGTTGATGGCAAAAAGAGAATGGGTTAGACAAAGGGAGACGGACGAGAACGGGTGTGCATTGACAGTGGGAAAACAAAGAGAAGAAAACGAGTGAAAGAGCAGGCGGTTGAGAAACCACATACCGGCCCAAGAGAGATTACTGCAAAGTAAGGCAGAGGGAGGCAGAGCAGGCATACGGGGAGAGCAGGGAGCCTCTGAAGGCGGCTTCGCCTGAGGCGAGGCCGAGCAGCGAGGGCGGTGCAGCGGTGGCGGGCGGCAGGTAGTAAGCGAGCAGGCGGTCCAGCGACACCCCCGCCGCCCAGCAGTCCACACTCACTGCCGATGGATCCGCCTCTGCCTGGTGCACACCATGGGGGGACGACCGAAGGGAGATATGGGGGGGAGGGGTGCGAACGGGCAAGCAGGTGTGGGTGGACAGTGCTTGGCCCTGACGGCAAGACGGATGCAGGCAAGACGGATGCAGGCAAGACGGATGCAGGCAAGACGGATGCAGGCAAGACGGATGCAGGCAAGACGGATGCAGGCAAGACGGATGCAGGCAAGACGGATGCAGGCAAGACGGATGCAGGCAAGACGGATGCAGGCAAGACGGATGCAGGCAAGACGGATGCAGGCAAGACGGATGCAGGCAAGACGGATGCAGGCAAGACGGATGCAGGCAAGACGGATGCAGGCAAGACGGATGCAGGCAAGACGGATGCAGGCAAGACGGATGCAGGCAAGACGGATGCAGGCAAGACGGATGCAGGCAAGACGGATGCAGGCAAGACGGATGCAGGCAAGACGGATGCAGGCAAGACGGATGCAGGCAAGACGGATGCAGGCAAGACGGATGCAGGCAAGACAGGATGCAGGCAAGACAGGATGCAGGCAAGACGGATGCAGGCAAGACGGATGCAGGCAAGACAGGATGCAGGCAAGACGGATGCAGGCAAGACGGATGCAGGCAAGACGGATGCAGGCAAGACGGATGCAGGCAAGACGGATGCAGGCAAGACGGATGCAGGCAAGACGGATGCAGGCAAGACGGATGCAGGCAAGACGGATGCAGGCAAGACGGATGCAGGCAAGACGGATGCAGGCAAGACGGATGCAGGCAAGACGGATGCAGGCAAGACGGATGCAGGCAAGACGGATGCAGGCAAGACGGATGCAGGCAAGACGGATGCAGGCAAGACGGATGCAGGCAAGACGGATGCAGGCAAGACGGATGCAGGCAAGACGGATGCAGGCAAGACGGATGCAGGCAAGACGGATGCAGGCAAGACGGATGCAGGCAAGACGGATGCAGGCAAGACGGATGCAGGCAAGACGGATGCAGGCAAGACGGATGCAGGCAAGACGGATGCAGGCAAGACGGATGCAGGCAAGACGGATGCAGGCAAGACGGATGCAGGCAAGACGGATGCAGGCAAGACGGATGCAGGCAAGACGGATGCAGGCAAGACGGATGCAGGCAAGACGGATGCAGGCAAGACGGATGCAGGCAAGACGGATGCAGGCAAGACGGATGCAGGCAAGACGGATGCAGGCAAGACGGATGCAGGCAAGACGGATGCAGGCAAGACGGATGCAGGCAAGACGGATGCAGGCAAGACGGATGCAGGCAAGACGGATGCAGGCAAGACGGATGCAGGCAAGACGGATGCAGGCAAGACGGATGCAGGCAAGACGGATGCAGGCAAGACGGATGCAGGCAAGACGGATGCAGGCAAGACGGATGCAGGCAAGACGGATGCAGGCAAGACGGATGCAGGCAAGACGGATGCAGGCAAGACGGATGCAGGCAAGACGGATGCAGGCAAGACGGATGCAGGCAAGACGGATGCAGGCAAGACGGATGCAGGCAAGACGGATGCAGGCAAGACGGATGCAGGCAAGACGGATGCAGGCAAGACAGGATGCAGGCAAGACGGATGCAGGCAAGACAGGATGCAGGCAAGACGGTTAATCACCACATTCGCACGCAGCTGCGAACACACCCCACTCACCTGAGGGCACACCCACAGCGTGCCCGCCCCTCGGATCTCCCCTCCTCCCACTGGCACCGCCCGCACCCCATGCAGCTCCGCTACCTGGTGTTGGGGGGAAGAAAGGGGAAGGAGGGGCATGGGAAGGGAAAGGGGAAGGGGGAAGGGGAAGGGTGGAAAAGATGGGATGCGCACATGGTGGTCGTGATGAATGAAAGGGTGTTGCTTGCCACCATGGTCTCCCTTATGACTCAACGCCCATCCATGCATCACATGCAGCATGTGCATTGCACCCATGGCCCTGGCATCACATCACTGACACAGTCGTCCGTGTTGAAGGTGAAGTTGGCCGTGGCCGCCGTCACGGGCACGCGGTCATACGCCCCCACCGCCCCCTCCCCCCGCCACGCCTCCACCGCCCCCGCTGCATCCGACCCCGCCACCGCAGCAACGGCTGCATCCACGTCAGCAGGCTCTGCTGCCAGCTCAGCAGTGCCTTCAAAGATCGGCGCATCGAGAGGCCCGCGGCAGAAGAGCAGCCCTTGCAGGCTCCCTGCCAGCTGGCAGAAGGTGATTGGAGAGAGAGGATTGGTGCTAGTGTGAGAAATAGAACAGATGCACTGCATGCTACTTGCAGTTGTTTAACGAAGTATTGGAGAAAAAGAATGTCTATCATTGAACCTGCACACACACATGCAGCACATACCGGGTATGGCAGGGGCTTGGCGTTGAGTGTCTTCATCAGCAGATTCGCCTCCACTGGTTGAACCTGCACCGCGTGACACACGCACCAGGCAAGGCCGTATGTGAGCTGAGAAGAGCACAGCGCAGCGTTGAATGCAGCAGAGGGAACATGGGAGCGCAGAGGGTGGGAGCGCATGAGAGGGTGGGAGCGGGGGAGCACCTGGGCTGTGATGCGGTACTGCCCCCCGGCGCCCTGGTTGAGGTCCATGTCCCCCGACGCCCTCAGTGGCACGTGGCCGTACCGCCCCTCCACCCCGTGCAGGAACAGCCGCTGCCCCTCCAGCACCACCGCCCCGCTCACTCCCTGCTCGCCCCGGGGGGGCATGGCGACGCACAGGCAGAGAGGGGACGACACGGCAGGGAGAGGATGTGGGAAACAATCATGTGAAGGACGGTGCGAGTGTGCGGATGGTGTGAGTGTGCAGATGGTGTGAGTGTGCAGATGGTGTGAGTGTGCGGATGGTGTGAGTGTGCGGATGGTGTGAGTGTGCGGATGGTGTGAGTGTGCAGATGGTGTGAGTGTGCGGATGGTGTGAGTGTGCGGATGGTGTGAGTGTGTGGGTGGCGTGAGTGTGAGGATGGTGTGAGTGTGAGTGGCCATACAGTGAACGGCGGCCTTACAGTGAACGCACAGGGGGACTCCCAGATTTGGAAGGCGAGGTCTGTGATGTCCACCCTGCCCTTGAAGTTGGGGAACGAATCGCCCGCCCCCATCCACAGCTGCACCTGCTCCCTCTCCGTCACAACCCCCCGGCCCCCCAAACATGCACCGCAGGTGCGTGGACACGAATGGCAGCAAGACATGGAGTGAGCTCACGGGCACGGTGGGGTCGGCAGTGCATCATGCGAGACAAGTGATTGAACGGTGCTGGGGTGCGCTGCGGAAGAGCGAGGTAGGTCTCTCTAGCAGCAAGAGCAGCGAAGCAGCAGGGAGAAGAAGGGAGCAGCAGCGACCAGCAGTGAGCAGCATAGAGCAGAGAGGCCAGTTCATGAATGTTGAGGTGCTGTGAAGCAATGGAGAGAGCGAGGCACTGACCTGCCCGTCGGCCCTCCCGCCGTACCAATCCAAGGGGATCTCCAGCAGCCGCTCCATCACCTGCCATGACCGCGTACGTAGGGCATGCCGATGGGGAAGGGGAAGGGGAAGGGGAAGGGGAAGGGTAATACTGTGACACGAGAGGCATGAGACGTAGGAAAGTGCCAGCAGCAATTACACAAGGACTATGGCAAGCATTGCGCATGGCGCATATGCACCTGTTGCATACATGCGTGCATGGCAAGCCTGGCATGCCGCATGCATAACACGCCTGGCACATGAAACATGGCACTTGGAACTTGACTGGCTGCTGGTCACAGCAGATGCAGGTGAGAACATGCAGCAACGCAGATGAGCACGCACAGGTGCAAAGAGGTTGTGTGCGGTGACAGTGACAGCCCACTCGTGCTTGTCCTCGTCCACATCCACGGCCACTCGCAGCAGCCCGCCTCCCCCCTCGCCTGCTCCCCCCTCTGCTCCCCCCTCCGCCTCCTTCCGCCCTGCCGCTGCACCGCCAGGCATCATGTGGAAAGGCGTAGAGAAGCGCGTTCCCTTGCCGCTGCTGCCAGGGGGCTGGGGGGACGAGGAGGAGGAGGAAGAAGAGGAGGTGGCGGTGGGGGAAGGGGTGGTGGGCGAGGGGGCAGGGGGGAAGTTGCGGGAGGGGCGGAGGGAGCCGTGGGCATCGACCTTGATGCGCTTGTAGGAGTGGGGCAGCGCGGGGAAGGTCACATGCGCATCTATGTGCTCCACCACCCTGCCATGCATGCACGCACACACACACGAGGCATGGTGTGCCAGTCAATACACATGCATGCGTGTAGGTGTGTGTTGTGCACAGAGAAGGGCACTCACGCACGTGGTACACACACGAGGGTCACACACTGGGACACATGCACATGAGTGAGCAGCAGCATGATGGAGGAGCACATCTCCCCATCACCCCTCACGAGTCGCCCCTAACCACATGTCATCTCACCGTGGCTCCTGGTCACCGTAAGCGAGGAGCATGAGGGTGCCGCCATGCACCCTCACTCCCTCCATGCACGGCACCAACCGCCCCCCACCTCCCCCTGCTGCCTCCTCGCCCTGCCTCCCTCCACCTGCCCCGTCTTCACCCCCCACTGCTGCTGTTTGTGGTGCTGTAACCCCCTCCCCAGCCTCACCAGCACCCCTGCCCGTACTGCCATGCGTGCCCTTCTCCCCCCCCACCTCGCTGCCATCCCCTCTCCCCCCCTGCGCCTCTGGCCCCCCTCGCCCATATGCTGGGTGCAGCTTGCGCAGCGCCCACTCACGCGCACACACAGGCGCCGGCAACCCCGCCTTCGACATGCGGGCGGGCGATGGCAGGGGCGGCAGGGGCTGTGGGGAGGGAGGAGGGGGGAAGAGGGAGGGAGGAATTGGGGAGGGATAGGGGAAGGATAGGGAATGGGTTGAATACGGGATGGGCGGTGTGAGGGATGGCAGCGATCGGGGGTGCTTACCTCAGCCGCACTCTGAGGTGCCCGCTCCACCTGTACTGCTGCTACCTCTGCCTGCTGCTGCCTCCGCTCCTGCTGCCACTGCTGCGAGTCCGCCGCGCTCACTTGTGACGGTGCCTGCCCGCTGTGCTGCTGTGCCTGCGCCTGCTGCTGTTGCGCGGGAGAAGGAAGGCCAGCAGCAAGAGGAAGGGCCGTGGCACGGCCAGTGGCAGCACCAGCAGTCACTGAGGCAAGCCCCCTGTCTGTAGCCTCCTCTCTCCTTGCTGCTCCGCCCCACGCCCCTTGTGCCTCCACCACCTCTCTCGTTCCACTCCCTCTCCCCTCCACCTCTTGCTCCACATCCACTCCTATTCTCTCGCCCCGGCCCCCCACATGACCCCCCGCCTGCCCCCCCACCTGCCCCTCCACGAGCCCTCCCCCCACGTGGGCGGCCATGCGCTGGCGGATGGCGAGCGCCAGAGCATCTCTCAGCGCCGACTCGCTGCCCTCCCCCTCGCCTGCACCCCTGCCGCCCTCGCCCCACTTCACTCCACCCACGCCACTTGCTTCACCCATCCTAGCCTCACTCCCTCTCACTTCAACCCCTCGTGCGTCACTCTCTCTCCCACCAACTGCTGCTACTGTCCCTTCCGTGCTCATGCTACCGTCTCCTCCCCTCCTCGAAAGGCCATCACCATTCGCTCCCACACTAGCACCCCCACTCTCCATGTGCCCCGACCGCCCCTCACCGCCCGCCATGTGACCTTCCCGCCCCTTGCCACTCTCACGTGCCATCCTCTCCCCTCCCACCGTGCCATCACCACTTAATCCCCGGCCCCCACCCCCTTCGCTCCCACTGTGCTGTGTGGGCATTGGGGCGGGGGCAGGGGGCGGGCGTGGGGGGGGCATGAGGTGGGGCGGCAGGGAGGAGAAGTGGGCCAGGGCCGCCGATGCGGAGAGGGAGAGCAGGTGCTCCTGGGCAGAGAGAGGGGGCGAGGGGGGTGCAGAGGGTGTTGAGGGTGGGGCACTGGGGGCTGGCGCAGTGGCGGAGAGGGGGTGCTGGTCGTACCCGTGCCACCCCAGCGCCACCACTGCCGCTCGCAGCACGTTGCTCACTGCCCTCTCCGCCGCCTGCTGCTGGTCCTCCACCCACTCCCACTCGACCCTGGCCTTACCCCCACCCACCTCCGTGCCCCCAACTACTCTCCCTTCCCCTTTGGCACCCGCCTCGCCCTCCCCTCCCCTTCCGCCCAGCCCCTGCGCCCCCTGCGCGCCCCCCTCCCCTCGGTACTCAATCTGTGCCCCTTGCAGCGCAAGCCTGTCCCTCTCCTCTGCTGCTGCCACCGAGGCTACGTCCCGAGCCTGACGTTGCAGGGAGGCTCGGGCGGAGAGAGGAGGGATGGAGGAGGAGGGGGAGGCGGGGGCGTCCATGTCTGCGGGGATGCCGAGCCACGTCCAGTCGGGCTGCTGCGCCACCAGCACTGTGGCGCGCTGCACCTGCGCCCCCACCACCACCCGCCCCTGCGCCACCGACGCCACCGGGTGCAGCTGCACCCACACACGGGCAGCGGGGGCGAGCAGGGTAGACAAGGGAGAAGCGAAGGGGGGGGGGGGGGGCGGGATTGATGGAAAACAGCGGCTGAATTGAAGGGCCAGGGGAGGGGCGGCTCTACGAATGTGTGTGTGCAGGTGCCAGTTGTGGCCACATGCACATGCTGTGTGCAGCACAGTGGCTGTGCAGCACTCACCCGCACTTGCACGGCGTCTGCATGGGCGCACGAGAACTCAGAGGCAGCAGGGCCGATGGACACGGGTCCCACGCTCACAGCCCACGGCAACAGCTGCTGCACGCGCCCCAGCGCTACCTGCCTGCCTGCCTGTGCGCTCGCTGCCGCCTCCACCACGGGCAGCACGCGCGCCTGCACGTACTGCCGCGCCCTCTGCTGCGCGTACGCCCCCCCGCCCCACAGCAGCGCCGCTGCCAGCGCCCACGCCACCCGCCGCCACCCCACGCCCCGCTCACGCCGCCGCCGCCGCCTCGTGGCCGCCAGGGGCGGGGTGGGGGTGGGGGGCGCTGCAGCCGCGGGGGGTTGGGGGGCGGGGGATGCTGCGGCTCCACGGCGAGGCGGGTCAGACGCAACGGGGACCCTTGGGGAGCGGGAAGAGGGGCCGGGGGAGGATTGGCGCGGAGGAGGCGGGGTGGGCGGAAGGGCAGGGGAGGCGCTTCCATTGAGGCTTTCTGGTGGCGGGGACGGCTTGCTGCCGCCGCTGCCACTAGACCTGCCTGACCTTCCGCCACCACCGCTGCCGCCGCCATTATTACCGCCCCCCCCAGTACTGTTTCCGCCGTCACCGCCCCCCCCACCGCCTCCGCCACTGTCAGCGCCACCAGCGCCGCCAGAACTGCCAGCCCCCGCGCCAGCCGCCGGCCCGTCTGCGCTGCTGTCGCCGCCCCGCTTCGCCCTCCCGCACACCACGCGGCCATTGCCCCTGCGCCCTCCGCCGCGGCCGTTGGGCGCAACGGCGGGGCGCGGAAGGAGGAGCGCGGAATGGCGGGTGAAGGGGGAGGGCGCGAGTGGTGGAGTTGAGGTGCGCGCGGGAAGTGGGCGCGCGCTGGAGGAGCCTGAAAGCCACGCGCTGCTGGCGCTGCTAAGACGGGCGGCGGAGGAGGCGGGGAAGGGGGAGAGCAACGCGCCGCTCGGCATGCGGCGCGGTGAGAGCGCCCCTAAACGGTTCAATTGGCGACTTGACTCTACGGGTCCAATTGCGCACCGCGCGCTCGCGTGGGCCGCAGAGGACGCGCTGGCGGAAACGCGCGGAATGGAGGGGGAAGAAGGAGGGCGCAAGAGGGGTGCGGCGCGAGCAGGCAGCGTGGGCTGGCGGAGAAGAGGCGCCGCATGGGAGGCGCGGGGCGGCAGCGCGGCATGTGAGGGAGCGGGGACAGGGGCGCGCTGGTGTGGTGGGAGAGCGAATGGGAGCGCGGTGGGCATAGCGGTGACATGCGGGCGCGCGAGGTGCGACGCGGCACGGTGGAGAGCGTGATCAGGTCCGCCTCACTGCCCTGTGTGTCCTTCACGGGGCAATGAACTGAAGCTGTATTCAGATATCCCCGCTTGGAAGCGATGTCTGCATGTACCCGTACGCTTTATTGGCAATCAATCAAAGGTCCTAGTTGCACACAATATTATGATTAGTGGGGTGCGCAACCAGGGATCAGTTTGTACTAAAAGCAGGGGCAAAAGTGGAAGAATCTGCTATTCATTCACGCCTTTCAGATACAAAACAAACCTACGCAAAGAAAAGCTATTTTATCAGGAACCACTCGAGCACACCGGGTGTCCAAGCTCCTCCACTAAGTGGTGCTTGCTTCTCCTTCACTACATGCGCCGGCATGGCCGAGGCAAGGAACTGGCCAAAGAGTTTGCCGGCGCAACCATCAGGCCCTGAGTTGCACGCACCGCCTCATGACTCATGGCGCAACAAGAGGCCCTGATGCGGTGCGCTGTGGTATGGTGCGGTGCGGTCAGTCCCAGGCGAGGGCGAGCAGGGAGTTGGCAAGGCCGGCATCGGCGATGGTGGTGGGCGAGGAGAGGTCGAGAGGAGCGGAGCCGGGTAGCGCCTGTGACAGACGGAAGGGCCTCCCCGCTGCCGCCTCTGGCACCTGCTGCCGACACCATGCCCTCAGCAGCTGGGGGAGTGGGGAGTGGGGCGAGGGAGAAGAAGGGAGTGAGTGGGAGAGCAAGGGGACGGGCATGGCAGGAAGGTGATGTGGGACAGTGCAGTGGAACTATGTGGAGAAAGACGCGTCCAGCGTCCTGGACGCATGCGTCCAGACGCTGGACGCTAGTTTAGGGCCCCCGAGACGCAGCAAAAGACGCAGGTCCGGGCAACCAAAAAAAACCCCCCGGGCAGCCAAAAAAAAGTTATAGGGCAGAGGGAAGAGGGGGTAAGAGGGGGGGGGGGGGGGGGGGGGGGGACACACTTTCATACCAAAATTTCTCTTCAACAACAAAATTTCAGCCACAACAATAGAACATGAAGGTGAGCCCCAAATTTCCATAATCACAATTAGTCCAAGGGTTGTTTAGCATGCATGCATACTACCACTAACTAACATGCATCACTCATCCTCCTCGCTCTCCATCCCCTTCTCCTCCTCCTTCTCCAAATCCTCCTGCTCCTTGTACTCGTCGAAGGTGAGGTCATCCTCATCCACCTCCACCTCTCCATCCTCCTCAAGCTTGTACCCCTCGGGAAGGGGTCGGGGGGGAATGTTCCCCTCCACTATTCCCGCCTTCCTGACTTCCCCACTCGGCCCCGCACCCGCCGCACCCTTGTGGTGGTTGTGCACAACGTTCCAGTTGTGCGCAACGAACACAAAGTCGCGAACACAAGGAGCTAGCCATAACGGTGGTGCGCGGAAAGGAGCTAAAACCACTAGGGTTTTTGAAAGAGAATTGGGTTGTGAGAAAAGGGAGCACAAATGAGAGGTTTCATGAACTAAATGGGCTTTGTGGGGGTGGTGGACCACAAAGGTTGGGTTTCCTAGTTGTGGAGTGGTGGAGAGGGGTTGGATTTCCAAATCAATTTTGCAAAAAGGGGAGGGGGTTAGGGGTGAATTAGATGGCTGGTTTTGGGGGTCGAATTTGCTTGGGGGGTGTCGAATTTCGGCGAAATTGACATTCGCGACGAAATCGCGAATGTCAATTTCGCGATCGCGAAAAAAAAAAAAAAATCTCGGTCTGCCCGAAAAATTTTCCAGGGTGCGTCCTGCGTCCGGACGCGCGTCCTGCGTCTTTGCGTCCGGACGCTGCGTCCGGACGCAGGACGCAGGGCTGCCCCAGCGTCTTTCTCCACATAGCAGTGGAATGGGATGGGTGGCAGGCAGGTTGTGTTAAACAATGCGAGCAGCACCTGGAGAGAGTGCGAGGAGAGGAACCGACGCTGCAATCGAGTGCCATCCGGGCAGCGAATGGCGATGCGACAGCTGGCAGGAGTGCCCACTGCTGGCTCCTCTGGTAACTCAACCTCCTCCTCCGCTGCTGCCCCTCCTGCCAACGCCCCCTGCTGTTCCTTCTCCCCTTGTGCCGCATGCAAGGTGTCATCCCTGCCTGCCCCTGCGGCCCCACCCTGCTCCCTCCCATCTGCCTCGCCTCTCCGTCCCTCTGTATCCCCCCCCACCTCCTCTGTGTGCCCCTCCAGGGAGGCGGCCAGTGCCAGGCGCAGCTGCTCCTCCTCGTCCTCCTCGCCGCTCCCCACTGCCCCCGCGCCCTCTGCTTCCCCCTCCCCTCCCGTGGCCACTTCGCGCTGCTTTTTGGGCGGCCGCACCTCCCCCCCCGCCCCGGGTGCGCCCCCCACAGGGCCACGGTCGATGAACGGCATCAGGTCCTGCCAGCCGTGCACCGCACACCCACACACGCACGCACGCACGAAGGCAGGCAGGCACACACGCAGGCAGGACGGAATCCACGAGGCAGGTGAGGAGGAATGCGAGGAGAGGATATGAACAGCAGAAGGGCATACTCGTGGCTCTGAAGCAAAAGGCACAATCTACTCTCACCTCCTCTCCCCTCCCACTGCCCCGTTTGCCCTTCCCCCATTCTTCCCCCCCCACCTCGAGCAGCTGGTCCGCAGAGAGCGCGCCCTGCCAGCAGCGCTTGCGCTGGCCCGTGGAGGGGTGCAGCACCATCACCACGGGCAGCGCCTCCACCTGGTAGTACCCGCACACCTTCGCCCCCTCCGCTGCCGCCGCGTCCACCTGCCTCGCCTCCCTCACCCACACGCAACACGCAAGGAGAGGGCGGATGGAGCATGGGAATCACAGACAGCGGACGCCAGTCAGTGACGGGTGGGGTGGGCACGGTATGGGTGGTGTGGTGGGACGGGCGAGGTGAGGCAAGTGGTGCGTGTGAGTGCCGTGACAGGGGACGGGCGATCACCTGTGCCTCACACAATGGCCTGGCAGAACCACCTGCCATAAACACATGGGAAATGCACCACGTCACAAGGAGGCACGGGAGGAGGAGCAGGAAGGGGAGAAAGAGGAGGAGTGGGAGGCGCGAGAGGGGGAGAGGGAGCACCTGCCAGAGGAGGAAGTAGGTGGAGATGGTCTCTTTGACAGCTGGCACGGCCCACACGTCCCGGTTCAGCATGTGCGACGCGAACTCCCCCGTTGACTGCACGTTCACCAGCAGCCACTTGCCCTCTGCCCCCGCTCGCTGCTTCGCCTGCACCCTCGCATTCACCCGTACATCCATGCACCCATGCACCCATGCATGCAGGCATGCAGGCATCCACGCATGCACCCATGCACAGCAATGGGCAGGCGCAACAGCAGTGGGCACAGCGTATAACACGGTGCTGTGGGACGTGTGGGCGCATGGGGCTGGGCAAGTGTCGCTGGACCCATCTCCACCCCACCTGGTCGAAGGAACCCGCAAAGAGGATGTCATAGGGCGGCTCAAACAGCGATGCCAGCGATGCCTGTCGCGCCGCCCCCCCCTCGCCGCCCTGCTGCCCCTCTCCCCGCGCTCTCGCCCTCGTGCCTGCCTCGCCGCCAAAGTCCCGAAACCCATCCACCACCACCGGCGCGCTGGGCCCTCCAGGCGTCCTCCCGGCAGCGCTGGGGGGCGAAGGGCCAGCGGCGAGGGGCGAGGGGGGGAAATGGAAGGGGAAGGAGCGAGGGGGAGGGGGAGAGGGTGGGGGGAGTGTAAGATGTGATGGGTGAGAAAGGACGACCGCGACGAGGAGGCAGCAGCGCAGGGAGCAAGGCGTGATGGCACAGCATGGAAGTGTGCACCACTGCACAGACAGCACCGCACAGCTCAGTGCTGGTGACGGGAAACGCGAGCAGGGAGAGAGCAGCATACGCACGCAGCAGAGGGGCGGTTGAGCGCGTATGCATCCCCATATAGCGCCTCCCGCCTCACTGGCAGCGGCGCCCGCACCACCTCCTCCTCGCCCCCCATGCTGCCGCCCATACCCCCTCCTCCTGCTGATGCTACTGCTGCTGCTGGCGGGGGTGGCGGGGACGAGGAGCGAGGCGGGGGAGTGGCGTCCCGTGACCTGGCGGATGCACGGTGGGCGGATGCACGGGTGGGGGGATGTAGTGGGGGTGGGGGGATGCAGGAACGGGGAAAAGAAGGGCGGAGGAATCGGAAAAGAGGAGGTGAACGAGGACACGTGAGACAGGAGGGCGAGGGGAGGCGGGACAAGGATTGGGAAACCTCGGGTGGGAAGAAACGCAGTACCCACTGCACTCCCAGCACCCACCCCCTACCCGTTGCCTGCACCTCCCGCAGGCCCCACGGCGCTGCCCCCATGCGCGTCAGTCTGCTGCGCGCCTGCGGCCTCCGCGCCCCCCCCGAAGAACAGCTGCACCGCCTCCTCCAGCTGCCAGTTCGTCGCCTGCACGCATGCAGTCGCACAGACGCAAGCAGCGGTTGAGAGCGGTGCATGGCGCGCGGTCACGGAGAGCGACGGGACTCGAGGAGCGCGCAGGCACGCGCGAGGCGGCGGCAACGAAACTAAGACACACGAGCACATGCACAGTGCCAGGGGCATGGCGCGTGAGGCAGCACGTGGCGCGGCACGTGGCGCGGCACGTGGCGCGCGGGGGCCCCGCCCACCTGCAGCATCTGCAGCGCGACGGCGTCGTCGCTGCCGGTGAAGTCGATGAAACTCGCCACCAGCGGCCCCACGTCCGGCTCCGCCATGCCGCCGCGCTCCCCCCTCCGCGCGCCCACCGCACCCTACACCGCGCGCTACACCGCGCCCTAAACAACCGCGACCTACACCGCGCCCCACGCGCTCGAGGCTTGCGGAGAGCTGATGCGCGCGAGGAGATTGGCTGGACGGGGTGTGGCGGAGAGGTTGAGCCGTGGTGATGCGACTGCGAGCAGAGCGACGACAGCAAGCCTGCACACACGTGGTGGTGGGCTTCAGGTGGTGCCTGCCTTTTGTGACTTGTCTGTCGGGACGAAATTCGACG